ATATTTTCTGTAAAAAATCAGTCCACAAATGACAAAAGATAAGTAAGAAATTTCGAGCAAAGAAGACTCTATATTTATAAAATTCATTTCTGGGAATCTTGTATTGAAAACAAATTCTAAAGAATTTTCTCCTGAGAAGGGTCCTGACTAAAAAAACAGAGCCGCATTTTTTAGATTTCTTAGATATTTTAATTCAGACATAATTGAATAATCAGCAAGACAAAAACACTTGCTATGGTACTATTTTGTTTTATATTTTTGTTAAAATTTGTTAGGCTTTTTAATGTTTCAAACATGTAGGAAAGTATAAAACCATAAATATTTTTATGTTCCCATGTTAATGTGAGTAGTTGAAAGAGAAATACTTATTACTTAATCCTATGTTTTACACTGTATATTTTTTGTACTAGAAGTATTTATTTTTACTTTATTTTAATCATGCCATCTCTAATCTCAGAAAAACACATTTAGAGTGAAGAAATGCATTTGGAGTATTCAAAAAGAGAACTGAGGTGTAAAGCTTAAGCTTAAGGAGAATATATTTGGCTGTGTGTTAGGTAGAGTAGAATAGGCTGCAATAACAACTAGACCTAAATAGCAAAAACACGAAGCATAGTGAAATACATTTGCATTCCACTGATAATCCTGTTAAATAGTGTATCTGGTAGATCTTCTCCATGGGGGGGGAGGGCAGATCCTGAGGCTTTTTCCATTTTATGGCTCTGTCAACCACTATTACCTTGTTCTCAGATTCATCTGCTGGGAGAAATGAAGAGAAAATTTGGAGGCACAGCTTCTTCAATGCATTAGCCTGGGTATTTCATACATCATGCGCTATATTCTCTTGATTCAGATTTCGTAGCATGGTCAAACACGACTGTAAATGAGACTATGTGCCAAGCAAAAGAGGAGCATAGAGATTATGTTGTGTAGGTGTCAATATCCACTATAGGCCACCATCATGAAGTATGTGGGACCTAATACTTATCCCCAAAGTGAAGTCCAGACTAGCAGCAGGACTAAACGGTAGGTTCCTTGAATTTTTAATGATGTTTGAAATGTAAAAATATTGGGGCACCTGGGTGGCTCAGTTGTTAAGCGTCTGTCTTCGGCTCAGGTCATGATCCCAGGGTCCTGGGATTGAGCCCCGTGTTGGGCTCCCTGCTCAGCGGGAAGCCTGCTTCTCCCTCTCCCACTCCCCCTTTTGTGTTCCTGCTGTCACTATCTCTCTCTCTGTCAAATAAATAAATAAAATCTTTAAAAATAAAAAAGAAATGTAAAAATATCTCTCAGGCACGATTACCACAGAAATTATACCATACCGGGACCAGAAGTAAAGTGTCATAGTAATGACAACCAGGTGTAACTTAGTGCATGGAGACTGGAATTAATTATATGTTTATAATATTTATATATTTATATAATATTATAAAGAGATTAGTCTCATGCATATTTAATATATTTGATAAAAACTAAGGTGTTAAATTTTTCCCATTTTCCATTATTTTTCTCATGTCTTTATATTGGAAAATGATGTGATAAAAATAAATTACTGTTTTAATAAAGTAGAGAAAATTTATACAAAAAACAAAATAATACACTTTTAAAATCCATTAATATATAATAAGCCCATTTTTATTTTGAGGTTAATCCCCATACTAAATGATTATACCAGGTTCTGCGTCTCTAATTCTCCATGCTTGTGCATTAAGTTGCCATTCGTTACATCTGTTTGCATTAGTCATTTTGACTCATAGTGCATGGTAAAATAAAGAATAACTACAGATAAGCCAGAAAATGAGGTAGGAATGTGTGATGAATCATTATATTATTGTTTATTAGTCCATCTGGTTGGTAATTGTACTGATTTGTGTATTCTTTTTAAGGTTTTAAAATCACGGTACAATGATCTTCTCGGTAGGTTAAGTTAGTTGTTGGTGACACGTCACTTGAGAAAATACATATTTACACAATTTCCAAATGATTTACACATTTTCAAAATGTAAAATCTAATAATATTAATTTCCTTAAAAATATTCATTATTGACATAAATTCTAAACAATGATGTCAAGATTGCTAGATATAATATTCTAGTTTACTGATGTAACTGATAATTTTTAAGCAAGTCTTTTTTGCCTTGTGACACATTCAATCCCACATCTAGAAAATATCTTGTAGCTGGAGTATAAAACAAATGGCTGGCTGTTATAGCTTTAGGATTAGAACAACGTAATCTATAAATCAGCATTAACTACAGCTCTGGTATCAATTTTATTTACTAGTATTCACTGACTAGTTTAGTTTTGTGGCGCAGATAGGATGAGTCAATTAAATTCTGTCCTACATTTTTCTAAAGAATTAGAGGAGCCAATGTTTAGTTGGGAATTTGGTAATACACAAAGATTACCTCATTTTCTGCAGACACTATTAAAGCTTAGTGTGCCACTGGCCAATGGAATATTAACAGAAGTGGTTAAGTACAATTTCCAAGGGTTGCCATTAAAAGGAGTGTGTGTGACTTTCTCCTCTTACTTCCCCTTGCTCTTCAGATTGTAGATAAGGGAATTTGGAGTTGGAGCAGTCATCTTGGACCCTGAAGAGACTCTAGGAATGGAGCTTATGGATGGTGGAGGAACCTACCTCTGCCATTCTATATGGGAAAGAAATAATTTTATTTAAGTCATTTACATTTCTCATTAACAGCTGAAGCAAGTCCTAATCACAGTGCATAGTGTACCTTGATAAGACAGAGCTTTTAGAGCCATCAAGAAAGTTGTACCAGTTATTTGTTTAATTATATATGATTAGTCATTAGGACAGAATGTGAAGCCTGTCTTAAACAATTATTGAAAGAGATGGAAGAGAAAAACATACATAAATCAATGATTTTTCTTTCACTACTAGTAACCTTTGAACAAATTGCAAAATTTCTGAACAGTTATGCTAAATATTTTTATTAGTTAATTAACTGCACACCAGGACCCAAACAGATAGGAATGTATAAATTAAAAGGAAATTGTTGATTCTGTCCTAGTCTTAATGAAATACATTGGTTTACTTTCAACTGTCATGAGTCTAAGCATATTAAGTAATATTGCCAAACACTGTACCTTTCTCTTACTGCATTAGGAGTGAAGTAATGTCTTTTTTTTTTCCCCCATTCTGAACTATAGGCTACCTGGACATTGGTAGTTACTAAACATACTATGAGGTCACAGTATATGCACAGGAAGGTAAATTTTATAAAACTTCAACTTTAAGTTCTGAAATAAAATAAAGATTCATGCTTGCCCTATCATTTTTCTTTGACATTTAGTGCCATGCCTTATAAGTTTTGAAATCCAACGTGGTAATCACTGGTTTGCGGTGATTTGTAAATGAACATATTTTTAATACTTAACTATCAAAATAATACTTTTCCAAGGAAAGAGAGATTGTGGAGGGGATGAAAAAGAAGGCTCTCTTACTTATAAATTTAACAAATCTAGAAGAATTGCTATAGGATGGCCAAGGAGAAGAAATATTGACTATGGTGGATTTAAGTTTTCCACTTAGGATTATCATTATTCATTATGGTCCAGCAATAATTTAGCAGGTCTAGAAAGGCAAAGCCATAGACATATATATACATACTTCCACATGTACATATATGTGTGCATCCCTAGTATCATAAAGTTTTGGAAAAGCTTACAAGAATGTGTAAGACCAATAATTGTCAAAATTTGCATAAGAATTATGATACAAGACCAGGGAAGATAGTCACTAGTGTAAAAAAGTAAATAATGGTTTGAAAAATAATACTCTGCTTATTGAAGACATAACTGAATTATTAACTTATAATGTTAATTGATAAAATACTGAAATATATATTATATTTTAAATATAATAACATAAGATTTTGCCTCACTTTTCCAACCATGGTCAGATTTTGGGAACCTGCTTTCATCTGACATACCAGGTGGTGTCATAAAGTTTAAGAGTCTGAAAAACCACTTGATGGACATGGTATAGATGCATGTAAAACACCATTATTAACGGAATGCATTAAAAAGTAATAAAAAAGGATAAGCAGGAAACCCAGAATGAATTGCAATCATCCATTATAGAACAGAGGAGGAGTCAGGGTTTCTAACTATAACATTCTCTGATAGAAGATAACTTTTGATAAGATTCTCAGTTTTTTTCCAACTAAATTCCTTTTGTCTTTTCCTTGATTTATTGTGTCTTTCCACTAAATAAAGGGTTATCCACTACCTTTTTAGATGAGCATGCTGGGCTTTTCAAAAGATAATTGCCAATTGACCTCTTGGTACCCTAGTTTTCTCATATGAAAAAATAGATAATGATACATAATTCCAAAATTTGTTGTGACTACAAACAACCCAGAGGGTGTTTACTAAAATAACTGGATTTTGCCTGCAATGGAGACTCAGTTACTGTTAGAGTTCCTGTTCTTCCCTTGATATAAAAAATGCATCTGGTATAAGTTTATATAAGATAAAGTGTCCAGATAAGGTGTCTTACACTTGATACTGATACAGCGTTTTTGAATTCTAGTGTTTGAATTTCATGTGTAAGAAACAATAGAATATACTGATACATAACAAAAGCTCTAAATTCAGACAATTGGTTGAAGTCTGGGCTTGATCACAAGCTAACATTTTGATGATTAAAAAAATACAGTTGACCCTTGAACAAACACAGGTTTGAACTGTGTGGGTCCACTTATATGCAGATTTTTTTTATAAATACAAGACTGTAAGTGTGTTTTCTTTATGATTTTCTTAATAACATGTTGCTTGCTCTAGCTTATATTATTATAATATATAGTACATACAACATATAAAATACGTGTTGATCAATTGTTTATGTTATTGTTAAGGCTTTCCGTCAACAGGAGGCTATGCGTAGTTAAATTCTTGTGGAGTCAAAAGTTATATGTGGATTTTTGACTGTGTGGAAGGTCAGCACCCTTAACCTCTGCATGGTTCAGGTTTTATTTTTTTTTGGCTTTATAGATTTATTTTCAAAGGAAAAAACAGACAGTTTAAATACAAGTCTAAACAGAATTACTCTGTCAAAGGCAGCAATAATGCCAAAACGCGTTCTCACTTCCAGACACTCGCCAGCATCTTCCGACTCTTCTCTCAGTGAAAAAAGGGGGTCTGATTTATTCATATACATCCTTCTTATCTGCAATGTAATCTACAATTTCTTGTGGACACATTAACTTCTCCACATCTGTATCAGGAATTTCAAACCCAAATTCATCCTCCATAGCCATGATAATTTCCACTTGGTCCAAACTGTCTGAGCCCAGGTCTTTCATAAAGTGGGAATTTACCGAGAGCTTTTCTGGGTCAATCTTGTCATAAAGTTTCAAGACATAAAGAACACGGTCCTTGATCCCCTCTAACATCAAAGGGTGTGCGTCACTGTACTGGCGGCATTGTATTACTGTATTACTTAGTGTCTCCACCCAACCCATTTCCTAATCTAAAATTGGGGATAATGATAATTTCCCTGATACATTATTAAGATTTATATAATACTCCTAAAAAGGAGTTGGAATGGTTCTAGCATAGATATAAAATACATATAGCTATACATATAGATAGATATTGATATAGCATATAGCTTTTAAATACATATAATATAGACTTAGCTAACTAATATCAATAGTAGTAATTATTAGTAATCATGAAGTGTTATTAGCTAACATTAGTAGTAATAATTGTAGCATAAGGAAATACTATCTACTGAAAGAAGGACAATAAAGATTATCCTCCTGATAATAATTTAAGAACTACCAGATATGGGAATAAGGAACAATAAAATGATAATATTATGATTACTTTGGATGCTCAGGCCAGCATCCATTCTAGAATACCTTGTGCTTAAAAAGAGGAATAGAGATTCATTCCCTTAGAATCAAAGAACCCTGCTTCTAGTACATTAAATTGTATGGCTTTTTTTTTAAATTAAGGTCTGAAAGTCTTCTGGATTGTCTACCATTATGTAATGATGGAGCCAGCATTTGGATACTGATTTGAGAAGTCTCTTCTAATGTGTCCCTAGGGCAAAGGTGGCTGTGCTGTTCTTTGTGTGGGTTACTACATGGGGTTTTGTTATGGAGGACAGAGATTGAGTTCAACTCCTTCACCACAAAACCCCACTGTACTTCACTTCCTGAATAAAGTGTGACTTAGAGTCTTCAACAAGTGTCAGAATAATTTTTTCAACAAGGTTGCCAACTACAAAGCCAACAATAGATGAGAATCACTGAATTTAAGAAGGTTTTTTAACTAGAGTATTTGTAGTAAAATATTTTCTATTGAAACACATTATCTAGTTTCAATAAACAACCTTTTGAGACGTGCAGATGTCACCTTAACAAACTCCATTCCTTTGAGGGGAAAAAAAGAAATATATTTTGAAGATGAAAATATGTAACATGTTTCTGCGATTTAAAAAATAGGGGCAGCTGGGTGGCTCAGTCCGTTAAGCATCTCACTCTTGATTTTGGCTCAGGTTCTGTTCTCAGGGTCTGAGATCCAGCCCCATGTCACTGGGCTCCGTGCTCAACAGGGGGTCTGCTGGAGATTCTCTCTCTCTCCCTCTCTAACGTAAATAAATAAATCTTAAAAAAAAATAATAGCAACTATATTAGAATTAAGCCTGAGAAGTGGTGCTTTGATAGGTTTTCTTTGCTTCACATTGAAACCTCCGACCTAGAAATCTCAGTCCAGAAAGAAACAGACTTGCTTCAACTCTCTTCATGTGTGCATCAGCTCCCTTAGATGTTAAATTATTGGACTTAGCAACTTGGCATTGTACTTTGATTCTCTGGATTTCATAAACTGGCTCAACATGAATCACTAGTACATGCACACTTGCCTTCAAAAAATGTAGAACCATCAAGCACCAGAGGAGAACCCAGAGGTCATATACCAGCAGCGGAAGAGTGAAGCCAATAGAGAGAATATGGTGATATGAAGAAAGATGAGAACAGACATTCTGAGAAATAGACTGAAATAGATAAAGTAAGATATTTCTGGGGGAATAAAGCCATCACAGAGCCACTGAATTTTACAAGTATCATGATCGTCACCATCACCACAGAGTAGTTTGGTGGGGAGATGAGCAATGATCCTGCTGCCTTGGAAATATAGCCATGCATGTGGTCTAGAAACCATAGCCTTGTCCTTAAATTGTATGCCTCAGGAGACTTTTTTATTAAGATACCTTGTTTTTAGTACAATTAAAGCAGTGCACTTGAAGTTCGTTTGAGCCCTTGTCTTTTTATTTCCTCTTTCCTCTCTTGTACCAGAAATTCGAGTATTAAATCTCCTTCCATTCCATCTATACACCGAATGGAATTGTCCAGGGTCCTGGAATAGCATTTGCTGTGGGGAATCAGTGCTGCAGAGTAAAGTTTGTTATTTTGTTCCACGTGAGAAGAGCATGGGAGCTTGAAGGCAGAGACTGGGATATCAAAGGGTTCCTTCTCTCCTAAACTCAAGAGAAAAAAAGTAGGAAATATAAATAAGAGTTAGGATTGCAGAAAAATATAAGTAAGGAAAAAATTGTATTGCTGACCACTGTAGGCTTACCAAAAGTTGCAAGAACAGAGAAACATTTGGGGAGATATTCAAATATCTGCTAGAGCAGAACAAATTTGTGAATTCCTCAGGGACCTCTCTCTACTGGGACCTCTCCAGAGCTCCCTGGCATTGGTGAAGTTATCTTTTCCCTCCAAGTCACCCATCCTTCCTGCTGTACCATTTGATGCCCTTCCAGGTTGATGTGCCTTGTTTGTTAGATAGTCTCGCCTCTGATAGAAAAATTGTGGGTAGAATTCCTTTACAGAATCACTAAGTACACAGAAAAACTCATATTCTTACCCAGAGTGCATGTTCTTCTCTGAAGACCTACAAGGCTGCTCAAACCAGTCTCTCACCTTTAGCCGTTTCAGATAAGGCTCACACACCCACATCTGTGTCCTCTACGTGCCACAGACACAGTCAAACTATTAATGTCCTAAGAGCATCCCTGAGTTTGAGGTGTGGAGAGCTTCTGTGCATCATTTTGAAGGTAAGAGATACACACAACATTTCGACAACAGTTTTTGAAGAAATTCTCATACTAGAATCTCTTATGAAATCCTCTTTAAATGCCCTTTATTATTTTGGGCAAGGTCTGTGTCATTCCTTTCATTAGGGTACATACGTGGTCATTTAACACCTGAAGAGTTGGGATTACATGGGTGTTGATTTTTTTATTTGCTGGGGTTTTCCAGTTGTTTGAAATATCCTACCCCAAGGGATTATGATAATCATATTAAAGAAAGGAAGGGAAGAAAGTATGGAGAGAGGGATGAAGGAAAGGAAGTAAAATAAACATAATTAGATAAGACATAAATATGGCCCCAGCACAGATCACATAATTTACAAGGCACTGAGCACAACAAATATATAGGGTGCCCTGTTCAAAATTTATTAAAAATTGCAAGATTGCAGGGCACCTGTGTGGCTCAGTTGGTTAAGTGAGCTTAGAATTCTATGTGACTCAGTAGGTCACATATAACCTTACCTGGAATAACAGAAAAAAAATTAAATTAATTATCTTAAGGTATCCAAAAATCAGAGAGGAAAATAATGTTACTTATAAATATAAACTTATTTTAACTACAAAATATATTCTGATTTTAACTTAATGTAAATGACTTTAATTTTATTTATGTTCAGAAGTGTTTTAACGTTGCCATATCTCCCATTCCAATGGTGTTCATCAAGAAGTACATATTTAGTTGTTTATAAGTTCTATCCATGGAATGTACATCCTAATACAATGACTGTGATATAACTAACAAATCTGAAATTAACTAATGTTTTTTTCTTTTTTTTTCTATGCCTGTAATCACTAATTGTCATTTACACATCTTCCTTGCATCCTAGACATACTATATTTAACTTCTGAATACTCTCAGCTGGAAATTTTGGCTGTGGAAGGCATGTAGCCTCCAATAAAAGAAACAGGTAAATCTCCAAGGAAAACTTTTATTACTGAGGAGATATAGTATTCTTAGCTTCTAATACCTTTTCTTAAAGCCCTACAAGCTCAATTTAGAAAAATTATATTTTGCCATGAATGTGACAATTGTTTTCCACCTACAAACATTTTGGTCTTACTTCCCCTCAGAAATTTTCTCCCTAATGTAATTATTGCTTCTGCTCTACTTGTTCTATTCTTCTCAAGAAAACTCATTTTGGATTTATTGGTTCTTTATTATCTGCCATCTCTCTTAATATCTCACACCTAATATTTTTTATTCTTTTGCCTTTTCCTAAGATTAATCACATCTGTTGTCTATGTCACTGAATCAGTTACACAGTTACAGGTCACCAGGTTCTTTCTCTTGCAAACGTGCCATAGCTTCTCCGTTTCTTTTGTTTTCATTTTAAACTGTACTCTCTCTTTCTGGGATCCTATTTTGTTACCTGAACATTGTTGTTAGGGCTGTATGCTGCAGTTTCATAGGGACCAACTGTTCTCTCATTCTGTGGTTAAAGCTAAGGATTTGTGAAATTTTCTTCTGCATTGGTCAATAAATCTTTTTAGATGTATGCTATTTCTTTTGTTTGTGTATCTTCATGTGTCTGTCCTTTCATTATTTGCTCTATTTTGAATTGAGTTGGAGTCAACAAGTATGTCTCATGTTTGATTTGTCTCATCAACTAACATCTTTGAATGTTTAATATTAGCCCAATTTTAAGTTTTTTAGTGATTTGTCTGAATGGATTGCCCTGTCCTGACACTCTGTATGGTTTTGTATTTAACTGTCCTCATTGAACCAGACATCAGTTTGATGTCTAAAATTTCCATTCAAACTCTTACTTTCCAGAGTCCTTCACCCAGTGTACTTCCTCATAGAAAAAGGTAATGGCTTCTCAGACTCACTGTATTGCTATCAAGTAATTTGAACTGATGGAAAACACGAACAAAAGATATAAGGTATGCTCTGCTGAAAGGTTTTTGCATTTCTTTCCTCAGTACCTCTATTTTTTCATTTTTATTTTTTTATTATTTTTTTAATGGAGACTCCATCTTCCAGGGTGGAAATCACAACTAACATTCCTGCTTTAATACTTCCTTTACTGTTTCCTTTGAATATTTTGGGAGGGAGTAGGGTATAGTTTTCTGGTATGGGACTTACGTCTTTGAGATATTGAGTACAGAAGGTATGGCATGTCTTTCTCACTCTACCCTGCTATATGCTTTTTTTGAGTTGTAATCTTGTTATAGCATTGGAGCAAATGAAATAAATTTTCTTTTATTTTGTATTGCTTTGACCTCTATCAATTCTGTTTAATATATACAGAGGATACTAAAGTTTTCTCTCATTTTCTTATCTTAGTTTCTGATCTAATTTTGCTTGTGTGTGTCTGTTTTCTGTCATCTTTGGCATTTTTAGGAGATGGTGGGATG